GTGCTTTAGTACAGAGGGAAGACTGCGTACATCCGACCCCCTTACCCCACTGTAGGTGGGAGCCTTTGCGGCACTGAGGTAAATGAAGATGAAAATGAAAATGAGTAACTTTGTGATATTTAACTTAATATTTAGCAGTAGAATATAATAATATATACTCGATTATTAAATAAGTGACACTTTAAGAACTCTTGATGATTAAAAAGGTAATAAAATAGATCATTGGACTTACTTTTTAAAATTGTTTTGGGGTATTTCCCAAAATAGGAATAAATAAAAGTAAAATCGTAAAAAGAAGGATGTTTTTACTTGGACTGTAATATGTTCCAAATCAGCCCAGAACAAATCAGATCAGAACTTGGATAGTAATAAAAATACAAAGATATCAGACATTACCACACCGGTTCAGACCATATCAGACCAGACCAACAAATTACCATCCAAGTAAAAACATCCTAAGAGCATGAACTTTAATTTAAATTCTCAAAATAGGTTAATTTCTCAAAATAAGCGTATATACTTTAATAGGATGGTTTTATATTCCTAATAATAAAACCTAAAAAATCAAAAGAAGAAGTAAAGAAACAAATAAAATTATGTAGGCATTAGCTATTGCCTCACCAACCTTCTAGCACCCCCACTTTCGATCGCCGGCAAAAATGCCAATTATCAAAAGTAATGTTATCTTGATGGGAGTTATGAGAGCAAAAATTAATTGGTATTTTCAAAGAGTAATATTGTCATCTTCATGATATTTTCAACAAAAAAAGAACCCCTTTTTACACAAGGTGTCTTTTTTTGGAGGTCCGAGGTGCATGGCGGTGCTGGGAGGAGGCAGATCGGTGGCAGAGTCCTACACTTTTTATATTTTTATGTGCATTCTCTATCTACAGAGTATGTTGTTAGTTTTTCTCATTTTTCTATTTTTTATTTTTAATTATATTTTTTCATTTTTATAATAAATCTATAATTATTTTTATTGCTTTATGTTTAGACTATATATAAAACTATGAATTTATTATTATTAATAAAAATGAATTCTATTTTTAAAATAAATATCAAAATCGCTCCTTTTTAGGAACAAAAACACCCACATTCCTCTTATTTCATTGATTAATTTACTTCTATATTTAGGGGTTTCAGTCAAATTATGTTCACTCATTCAAAAATAGAAACAGATATTAAAGTGTTTAAGTAAAACTAAATTTCTAAAAACTCAATGTGTTGAGCGGTCGTCTCCCTCTAGGTTAGGGTTTTGAGTTTTCCGCTTCGTCTCCTTCGGCGAAGAGCGGCAAGCAAACACGGAGTACAGTTGACAGCGGGCGATAATCTGTAGCCAAGGGTTATTCATCTTCGGTCAAGCAAGGTGGTCCGAGTAGGAACAAATGGAAGACATCATACATGAGTACGATAACATGGCTATTGAATTGGTGGGGATGAGGAGGAGTTGATTTTCGAAGAGGATGTCGACGGGGAGGTAGAACCAGGCTAGCGTCGGGCTGCATTCCTCACGGACACAAGTGGAGATGGCATGGCTCTGGATGAGCCAAAAAATGTTGGAAATTTTAAATGTATTTGAAATAAATTAAAACCTTTGAGCATTTATTTTGACCATTTTATTTCTTAATTAAATAACCTATCATTGAACTTTTCCTTGTCAAAAAACGGGGAGGAGGTGGATCTTGGACACCAGATCCGTTGAGAGTTCTAAAGAAGATTTATGGAAGGATAGGACAACAAAAGATCCTCGTGATTCTAGGGATGCAACATAAGTTTATAAAGTTATTTTTATTCTTGTCTTTTACTTTGATCAGACTATTTTTATTTTCACATTTTATTTCTCGTTTTGTCAGCCCCTTGCATTAGGATTGGGTGATGAGAGATCTACTTTGACCGCCTTTGACTCATTTATGCTCATTGCAGGATCAGCGAGTCATATTCCTTTCTGGAAGGTGATTGACTCTAAGTCTGGTTCGAGTGCTAGCGGATAGGCGTGGTCCTGCTATCTGTTTGTTTCCTGTCTGAATGATGTGATATCAATATATGTCATTTTATTCCAAAAAAAAGCGAAAGTATATACTACGTATGTCTCGGTTCTGGTACTTTGTGGAGAAAATAATTCTAGGTATGACTAAAACTCTTCCATTTTCAATTCTCAATCTATAGCTATGACCTCATTAGTTTCTTTCTCATAATAATATTTAAATTTGTAATAATTAATTAATTAATAATTTTTATGGACTAATATGCCCTTATATTGATATTATAAAATCCTAACTTTCTACTCATTTTCTAAAAAGCCTAGCCATTAGGTCCGCAGTCGCGGCATCCGCCCCCATCACCGTGGCCCCTGTCGCCACGGCACCCGCCGTTCCCATGTCGCGGCACCGCAACCGTCCCCAAGCATAAGAGCCTAATCACTGCTGCCGCAGTCTTCATGCCCCCATACCGCGGCCGTCCCCATATCCACATGCCTACCCGCAGCCACCACTGTCTCCAAGTCAGCTTGTCGTAGCTTTCCCCATGTCGCGCCGCCGCCGTGACGATGCCTATTGTTTTATTTATGAAATTAGGGTTTATGACTTTAGGGTTTGTGAAGATGGACAGTAAACATGGGCAGTGAAAATGACAATGAATATGTTGAATATTAGCATTGAATGAATGCATGGATGAAGTATCTTGTGCAGTGAATCAAAGGTAGTAGAGCAATAATGACGGCACGAGATGTAGGCTATGTTTGGTACAATTAGCTGAAAAGATCTTTTTGTGAGCTTTTTAGTAACTGTTAGCTTTTAATGACTGAAAAGATCTTAAAAGTAAAAGGTGGTAGTTGTTTAGTAAAAAGCTGACTGTTTGATTTAGTTCTGTTTGGCATACAAGCTGTTAGGATTTATTAAAGCTAAAAGTCACAGACTTTTCTTAGATGCTACTACCTGTAGCATCTCAAAAAAGAGCTTTTATTTTTTGAAAAGCTCTTAAAAATTGGCGTGTCAAACAAACAACTAACAACTTTTAGAGACTTTTTAAATAGTACAAAAGCCAAAAGCTATAGACTTATGTCAGCCAAACATAGCCATAATATATTTAACTGGACTTAAAAAATACTAATTTAAATCTATTAAATCTAAAAATAAATACAAAAAAGAACTATTAATAAATTCGTAATGTGGATGAGGAGAGAATTAATGTTGGCATGAAGTGCAGTAATTCTTACCGAATGGACAATAATGTTGTGCAGTAATGTCGTGCAGTAACTATAGTATAAAGTTCATTATTTTAAATGGACGAAAATAGTGTGAAATGCACATTTCAAAATAAGGGTACTTTGATCATATATTAAACATTTTCATATGAACAAATTTTTCTTTTTGTTTTTGTTTTTCAGTCATACAAATGTCTAAAAACATAGCTAGTCATAATTAAGGAAACTCAATATATGTTTTAGTCTGGAGAACTTTCTCTTACTTAGTGTGTTACTTTGTGTGGTGGTTATAAACCATCATGAATCATGATCATACTTGTAGAGATTATATACTTTTAAACACATTGCCGTTTAACCTATTACTAATTTTAAAATGACTCGAGATAGAGCCAATTTTGAAAGAACAATAATATGCCCAAAAAACATTTAAAGTTTGCATTGCTTGGCTCGGATGGTATAGTGGGTGTATTAGGATGGGGCGTACTTGCGGTGTTTGGCCAACTGGTAGGCGTGCAAGTTAATTAAGAAGATGGCATGCCGCATGCAAATACATAAATCATATAAGCATGTGTCGATCACCATTATATTTCGAGTGTACCAAACTGGCCTGGCAGCCACAATATACGCATAATAATAATCTTATACATATATATGACGATTATTTTTCTGGTGACGCATGCAACCCAGCCAATCGTTTTGTTTTCCTCAAGACATTAAGAAAGCCCGCAATCTTTTAAACCCCACGGGTAAATTTGGAACAATGACCGATGTTCGAAACCCACAGCGGCCGTATGGAGGTTACAGCCTTTCGTGTTGGGCTTGGACATCTGGTGCGTATGGATATAAGACCTACTATACGTACTTCATTGGATTGACTGAGTCATCGTGACTTACTCATCTACCATTCTGTCGGATCGGGGTGTGGGGCTCTTCGGGTGGGAGATTCCACCTTCTTTGGAACAACAAAGAAAGCAATCTTTTAGAATTAGAAATGCCAAACGCATCCAAACCATCATTATGTATATTTGGTCTATCTACCCCACATCCGTTCCACTTTATTGCTACACTATGTATTATACGAGTACTTGTATTAATTCGTATTATACATAATATAATACACAAATCCACATGTTATACTTGCATGCATGTGTGTGTTTATGCCCCACATGTCATAATTTCATCTGCCCTGATTTTTTTCATTTTATTTTAGGTGACAACTCCAGTACCCATTTAAAAAATGAGGTACCGTAACTACCATGCATTTGATTGGTACACATTATTATATCATTTTTAATTTAGATTTTAATAATTCAATTGTATTGTTTTGATTGGTCCACGTGTACAAAGGTATGGTACCTTATGGGTACCATAGAATCTACCTTTATTTTATTATATGTACATTCTAGAATCTCAAATTTTGTACACTTAATTTTGCATTAGTTGAATGATTTTTCATGAATAAGTTTATTAATTATCGAGGAGCTAGTGACAGAAAAACAAAGAAAATACCGTGAATCTACATAATGAATAAGTGCAGGAGCTCTAGCTTATTACATTTAGTGAATCCGCATGAGAAAGAAAATAGAAAATTAAAACTAATTAGAGAACAAAAAGTGAATGACTAAGCTATATATATCATCTTGTATTCATTATGTCTGCTGCGGGCAATCTCCAATCCTATTGGCTGCCTCACAATAAGCATGCAAGCTTGCCCCCACCTCACCTTTCATGTCCCCACTTCACTCGATCATTTCCCCCTATAAATACTGGATTTTGTGTTGAAGCCATGACACCCTCCTCTTCATTCACTACATAGTGATTAAAACCCAATTTCTCTCAAGTTTTTCTTAACTCCAATCAGGCTGTTAGGTGATTAAGTTAACCCTGTTTTATAAAAAAAAAAGTTTCATTTATTCTATGGCTATTTCTGGTTTTGAAGGATTTGAGAAGAGGCTCGAGCTACACTTCTCCGGCAACGATCTAGTGATCGGAGCGGGGGGACTCCGGCGGTTGAGCCTCGAGTCGTTGGAGGAGGTGTTGCGTGCGGTGCAGTGCTCGGTGGTTGCAGCCGTGGGGAACCAATATTTTGACTCCTACGTTCTCTCAGAATCAAGCCTGTTTGTGTACCCCACCAAGATCATCATCAAGACATGTGGGACCACCCAGCTGTTGAAGTCCATCCGTCCGATGATCCACTTTGGTGGTGGGATGGGCCTCACATTATCCGAGTGTAGATATAGTAGGGGGAACTTTATTTTCCCTAAAGCCCAACCATACCCTCACACAAGCTTCAAAGAAGAGGTCATCTATTTGGAGGCCAATTTGCCTAGCCATCTTTGCTATAGAAAGGCATCAATCTTGCCCTCCAAGTTAAGCTCTCACTCATGGCACGTATTCTGCGCCACGAATGGAACTCCCGAGACGGGCCTTTCCATCTCGGGTAATAATAATCACTCCACTACTCTTATTGAAGTTTGCATGACACAACTCAATCAAGTGGTGGCCCGTAAATTCTTTGCTACACATGACACGTTAGGAAAAGATATGACTGATGCCAGTGGCATGTGTCACATCAACCCTAATTCAATCATTTGTGACTTTGCATTTCATCCATGTGGATACTCCATGAACGGTATTGACAATGACTGTTACTCCACCGTCCATGTGACACCAGAAGACGGTTTCAGCTACGCTAGCTACGAGTGTGTGTGGCCCGCTTTCGACATTGATGATATCGCCCGAGTCTTGGAGAAGGTGGTGCAAGTATTTCGGCCCGGGGTCATGTCGGTAGCGATTACTTGCAATGCAGATGAGAAATGTAAGGGTATCACTAAAGCCATGGAGCCCCTCGGAATGAAGTGTCGGAGTTGCGTGACGGATGAGTTCCCGGCGGCCGGGATCAACGTGACGTTCCAAACCTATACGCCTCGCCGGAAGTGAGGCGTATGGTTCAAAATTAAGCGTGCATGGGGATGATAGCCGACATGTGAATGGTATAATATGATGCATGCATGCCTCTGCCGTGTGATCATTAGTGTCAACGTGGGGAAGCATTATACGGAGTATTATTTACCGATGAGATTATATTATATGGGATTGTGTGGGTTGTTCACGAGATATAATGATGCACCCCATTTACTATATGTTTGGCACGCTTGCAATTTTAATTTTGAGGTTGCAAATTAATACGAAGTATTGTTTATCATTTCCAGTATAATTATTATTTGTAGTGGTCACTGGTCGGATATATATATATAAGAGAACTCAAAACATGTATTCATCGAGTGGACTTTAATTCCATCTTTCTATTTTTAACCAAAACAGATTTGCACGTCTTGTTTTAATTATACTACTCCGTACGTATTTGCTCATTCAAATATTCAATTCAACAACTTCGCCATTATTATTTAGGGAGTATTTATATAGAATACAAGTATAGTAAACAAACCAAACTTGAATTTGTGAATTTGTGCGTGGTCGATCCATCGATCAGGTCGGCAAATAAAGGCTTTGTGTAACTAATACGGAGTACGTGACATCATTTTTGTCTTACCTTATACTCCCTCCGTAACATTCATATCTTCCCATTTTCCTTTTTTGGATGTAACATTTATATCTTCCCATTTCTAAATCTTCCCATCATACCCTCAATAATTTAAAAAATAATACTCTGTATACTATTACACCTACTTTTTTTGGATTTATCCTTCATTCCATTACATTATTTCACTATCTTCCCATCATACCCACTTTGGAAGTGGGAAAATATATGTGATACGGAGGGAGTATGAATTTGAACAATATGTTTTTTATTTTTCAAAATAGACGTATCTAATGGTGTGTTTCCAATTATTATAAGGGGAATTTTGACTTTGTACACCACTTTTTGGTTGATATTGAATTTTATATCTCATTTAAAAAAAAACTTGATCCTGCACCCTATCGTATAGTATTTGATGGAAAAAAATTCTGAATGAGGTGGAAAGTCAAAGACTTGGAAATTAAATAGGGTGCAAAGTTTAAGTTTTTGAAAATGAGACGCAAAGCCTAATATCACTCAAAAAAGCGGGTTGAAAAGTCAAAATATTCTTTATTATAAAGTCAATTAAACTCTACCTTTAATTTCAATTCTATTTCTGTATAACTATCTTGTCTCATATTCAAAATTAGCTTTCATAACTTTTAGAGAATCTTTAAATATGTTTATCTTCAATGTCTAATATCACTGAAAAAGCGGGTTGCAAAGTCAAAATATTCCTTATTTATAAAGTCAATCAAACTCTATTTTTAATTTATTTTTCTGGATAACTATCTTGTCTCATATTCAAAATTAGCTTTCACTGTTCTACATAACTTTTAGAGAATATTTAAATATGTTTATCTTAATTACTAATAGCGGATTGACAATAGCTGGTTGTGTCTGCTGTTTTAGTTGGCTGATTATGTTAGATTGTTGTTAGTACATGTTTGGTAAATAAGCTATTTAAAAATAGCTGTTTTGAACGCAAAAAGACATATAATGACATTACTCGTTATTTTTATTTTTAGCTATTTCTTATAAAAAGATATTTCCTACAATTACTTATAGATTATAAATCATTCATATTTTTAAAATTTTAGGAAATAATAAATAAAAAGATTCCAACACTTCAATACGGGGTAGTTCATTATATGAATTTTATTTTGCATTCGTTGGTAATAAATAGTTAAATACTTAAATACTACGTATTAATTAACTATTAAACACAAACACATGTGATTCATGCTTTCGCAGAACATAAGTTTCACTTATCACCTATAAGTCTATAACTAATTGGAAATATTATTAATCACATTGGTTGATGACTTATCTGAACCCAGTTTAAAAAATGAAAGATTGTGCAGATTGCTGGCCGAAAAGCAAAGAATGCGTGAAAACGGAAGATTTTTTGAAAGAGGAATATGGAGGCCTGAAAAAGGTGGGCAATAACGGAAGAAAATAAAAAAGCCGGTCCTAAATGCAGCGACCAGCGTTTTAAATTTCAGATGTTTGGGATCAACAAACTAAGTTAACCATCCATTATCTAAACACTAATTTTGGCGGTTTACATGGTCAAACGCTTTGATTATGGTCAAAGAAGCCAAAAAAAAATGGCTGATAAGCCATTTACTAAACAAGGCCCAAGAAAAATTAACTCTGATTATATAAGCCAAACATGGTAAATCGCTGTTCTGGGTGAGTACTGTAATACTAATGACGTACTCAGTAATATTGTACATTTGTACGTGTTTTTATTACTAATAAACCTATTAATAAAATATGATTTTCTTAAGGGTAATGAAACATGTTTCGGGTAAATCAATATAACTGTAATATACGAAGTACTCCCTCCGTCCCGTTGGAATGTTCCCGTTCACTATTCATTGGTCAACTTAGGTCACTCCCAATCTTTTACTTTATATAGCAAATTTTTATCAAATTGAACTTTTCTTGATCAGGCTTTGTAGCGGTTTTAATGTAGTTTCAGAATACGTAAATTTTATTTACTAAAAATAAGCGGAGTGTGAACAGGGATCGAGTTGCTTTATCGTCAGTCAAGCATCGTAAACCGAACGGGAACATTCCATCGGGACGGAGGGAGTATAATTTATTAATTTACTCTCGCTAATGAGCTCTAGAGGTTCTTTCAAAAAAATGCTCTAGAGGTGGACCAATATTATTAAGTGGATGACCAAGAAAAATCACTCAACTGATCTGTTAATGTTGTAGCCCAACAAGTGAACCCATCAAGCTAAATGGATCCTCGACTACTATTGTTTTACCCACGAACGTGCCGTGGCTCAAAACGGAAATACCATTTACCAAACTGTGTTAGTTTATTCGCGTATAATTCGCGTATAATACACTCAAACGCATAATTCACGTATAATACTCCCGTTTATGAATTTTTCAAAAAATTCTGAAAAATTCACGTACTTTGAGGATAAAATGTATAATACACGTACCGTACATATTGATATATATTTTATATTCACGGATAATACTCATGTTTATGAATTTTTCAGAAAATTCTGAAAAACTCATTTACTTTAAGAATAAAATGTATAACACACTTACTATATGTATTGATACGTATTTTATTCAAAAACACACACGCCACTAAACGAATGCCTAATGGAGTGATACAACTGAAACGAAATGTCTAGCTGCTCAATATTATTTATATTGCTTAGAAAATCTTTATGCCTTATATGTTCGTTAATTGTTTTATTGTCATTACATTTAATAATTGAGCTTCTTAAGTTCATAATATGTTTCGATATTACTATTGTACTACTATTGTATTACTTTTGTTACGTTCTCCACCCATACCAAGATTCCAAAGAGATCGAAAAATGTTGTGGCGACTCACTAAACTCACGATCAAAGTAATATCAACTATTCAAATACGTATATATGAAAAAACTATTTCGTACATTTTAAATTCTTGAAGAATGTGGTGGAAAAGTTAAATAACTCTTTATTTCTATCATTAAATTAGTATATAAGACACATATCATATGCCCATTGTTCTAAAAATCGGCCTAGGCGGACCGATTAATCGGCCTAGGCGGCCTAGGCGGCCCTAACCGTAGAGTCCTAGTCGGTCTAGTCGGCCAAAAAATCGGCCTAGTCGGCCGAAAAAATCGGCCTAGTCGGCCGCCTAGGCGCTAGGCGCCCCTCTACCGCCCGACTAGCGCCTAGCGAGTTTTAGAACAATGCATATGCCGTATTTTTAAATTTTAGACACATCCGCATCTTTATATATTTCACGAACGTATGAAATATATAATAAGACGTATTTTATATAATGGTATTGTATTATACACGAACGTATGTATTATTGTACTACCTCCGTCCCATATTAAACTTCCAATTGCGGGTTACGAAGTTTGACCAGCGATAAAGTTAAATGATCCATGTGAAAGCTCAGATTATTTTTAGCAAATAAAATTTACATATTCAGAAATTACATCAAACCCGCTACAAAGCCTGCAAAAAATAATTCACTTTTTATAAAATTTTGATATATAAAGTAAGAGTTTAATTGTGATTTAAGTTGACCCTCGAAAAGCGAAATGGAAGTTTATTTAGGGACGGAGGGAGTATTATTCACGAACCGTATATTACTAACAAAGTTACCAAATACGGAGTATCAATTTTACAGTCCATTTGGTAATGTTGGAATTGGATGAATTGATTATTTCGAACTGGTGAAATTCTTGATGAGTTGTTGAATTATGGCTTAATTTGATAAATTGTGAATATATACATGTATTATTAAAAAGAATCTATGGTAACATCAATCAATTTAATCAATTTAGCAAGAAAAGTAACCTAAACTTTACTTGTTTTTATTATTACACAATTCACTGCATAAAATCATAAGTTATATATTTGGTGAAAAAGTTGATTCGTAAGGCTAACAAGTCAATGAAAACATGATTAATCAAATGGGCTCTAATCTTCACGTCAACCCTTTTTCATTTTACCATTAAGAGCCCGTTTGGTAGCACCAAAATCGGCTGTTTTGGCTGATTCTGCTGAAATTTATGATATTCTGGCTGGAGTGGCTGTTTTGGCTGATTCTGCTGATTTAAGAAAAAAATATTTTAAAAATATATTTTATTAATAAATTAAAGAAAAAATTATATGTAAAAATAGCTAAAATGGTCCTCTACAGTAACTTCAGCCAATACAGCCAGAAAAGTAACTCCAACCTTACTTTTTCGGCTTATTACACAATTCAGCGCGCGAAAGTAAAAGTTACGTGTTTGGTGAAAAAGCTGGCTGATAAGCCTGATAAGCCGAAAACAGAGTTCTCCAAACGGGCTCTAAGAATGTTATAATTGGCCTGGAGTTTCTAGTTTGGCGACTTTATCAGGTCTAGTCTAGAATGGCATGGTCTTATTTAGTCTATTTAAGTCTGGTCTTGTTTGATATGGTCTGCTCTAAATTAGTATGGTCTGCTAGATGCATAGTGCATGCATATTTTATCACTATCGAAGTATGGTGTGATTTGATTTGGTCGATTTGACCTTATCCGATCTGATTTGTTTAAATCTGGTTTGATTTCACATGCCTCTAGAACTAAAACCAATTACAAAAACCTCCTAAATTTCCTTAAAAAGTGTACTCGATCTCTTTTATTTTACCTTGTGAAAATAGTCTTGATTAATATTTTTTTATTAAATTAAATTACTATATTATTCCTAATTATATAGTCCATGTATATTTGTATTTTGTACAGAGCATATGATAGCGATTATAGTCAA